ACATATTGTCCTAACTCAAAATCATTTTTTTTAGTGAAATATCTCTTTTCAGCATGTGGATCCCCACCCAAAGAAAATCCAACCTACCTGAAAGAGGATTGTGACAAATAACCCAAGCATTTAAAACACTAGGAGAGTCAAAAAACTTTCCCAGCCGTTAAATCAGAATAAAAGGTGGAAACACAGAAGCTGTGTAGATCAGAGCAGAATATGGTATCAAACTTTTCAACTTTGTTTTCATCCTTGCACCTCTCTTATGATATCCATGCATTGGACAGTTCGCATAAAGATTTCAGAGAAGTGTTTCTGACTAAGTACAGATATGATTCCATAAGGTTAGATTCACTTATTTAATTGATAGTTTACATTTATTAAAAGTATAATCAGATAAAAGCGTACATTTAATTCCCTTTGAGGTATGTGATGAGACATATGGGAATATTATTACATGCACATTCTTATTTTTTACTCTGGAGAAAATAAAGGACTTTGTTGTTGTTATTACAGCAGGTTTGAAAATCAGAATCAAAACCAAACTCACTCAATGTTCTCAATGTTATGCAAATGTTTTCTTTCCCAATTCTATTGAGGTAACAGTGTTACTGGAACAAACATGTTCCATACAAGAATCAAGATAAACTTATCTCAGGAAATAAACATGTCTCACATCTATAACACTTCAAGATCCTGCAAAGAGATTTGAGGAATTATGCACAACTTTATGACATAATGTCTGTATATTTCTTAGCTCAGCATTTCTCAAAAAGGCTTATCTTTTTGAGACAGACAAAAAAGAGAGAAAAATGAAGGCATGTTAGATACACCATTCTCAAAAAAATTAATGATAAAGTGTTCAAGGGCCAGATCTCCTGCTGTGATGCTTTATGTAATATATGACCATCACATTTGGCAAGATTTGCATTGGTCTGCCCTTGATTTGTGGAAGGAAAAAGCAGAAAACCTCACAACTATTCTTCATTCCCAAGAATTAATCTGAAGTCTGGTTCCCTGATGTTTCCAATTTTACAATGATCCAAATAACCCCTAAAACCACACCTGAAGCATCACTCACAATTATAGCTGAGGGAGACCAACATGAATCCCCTCCCCAGCCATCCCAGGGCACTCTCGATCACAGCAGTGGCCCTACAGTGCTGTGAGATGGGGCAATCAAACTTGACCTGGAAGCACTGATGCTAGGATATGAACTAGCTTTGAGAGGCTTTTATCTGAAAAGATAGTGAAAAGTGTCACAAATACACATGATGTTACAAGCCTCAGAAACTATTACATACTACTGAAGCTTCAAAGAAACGACTGACTGCTGAACTTCATCAAATCTACCAGAAAGCAAGCGGACAGTTGAATACTTAGAGCTTCAGCCCCGACTTGAGTTGTACAAAATGGATGGCACTTCAACTGATTGCTTCAGTTTGCCCTTAATGACTCCCCGAATTGTCCACAAAAAATTATATTAGCTTTCTTATTATACCTTTTCCAGTATTTCGCAAAAGGCATTGAGACTTGGCTAGGATAAATGCAATTTGACTAGTCTAATTGCTCTTCAATTCTCTTCTGAGTTAATCACAGACAGACAATGAATATAATCATTACATCAGGCCAGCAGTTCAATACATCATTTGTATTGAACAACTCAATACATCATTCACAAACATAACAAGTACAGTATAAACACAAGCACTATAAATGCCTATAGCACAAGGTGTTTCTACTAAACATAGTAGAAGGTATTATAAGCAGAAAGAAGAAAAGCTGGTCAGATCCCCATGGTTTACTAAGGCATTAATTGAAAATTAATTCTATTTTTAATTAGCAGATGCATAGTACTCCCAGAAACTTGTTTTCCAAAGTATATCATAGATCTTGTATCATGTGTCTTCCCACAATTAAATCCTTAGATCACTACTGCTACAACATCTTATGAACTGCAATTTAATATAAAGACTGATCTATTCTGTCAGATTATTCAGTATCCCAATTTGAATTCTGTATATGTTCACATCACTAGGAGAACTTCAGTTTATACTTTGCTTCCTGAGGAAAATATCGTACCCTTGGGCTGGTAGGAAAATAAATTTACCTATACATAGTGCTTTATATGTATCCTTTTGAACACATGCATAAATAAGTTCAAACTGAGAACGTTCACAAATGTAGCTGCATATTCAGACCTGCAGAAAGCAAGTGTGTTCCAACAAGACTTAATGTTCTCACCTATTATTTGTAACTACCTTACACGTATAAAAAAAATAAGCCATACCAGTGAAAAACTTTAAATCAAAATACTCTCCTATCAGCAAATAAATGCACATCAGACTCATGGTACCTCCACCACTCAAACTATTTGCTTTACTTACAAGGTTCACTATGGTATTTATATAGAAAAACTAAAAGCTCCCCAAATCACGCAGCGGAAGGGAAACCTCAAGCTTGCAAAACGTGAGGCAGGGACACGTCTCCATTTATGTAGAAGTAGTACCATAAGCTTGTACTGGAACAATGAATTTTGTGATTCATTTTTGAAAGCAAACCCTAAGGAACTTCCACAGAGAATAACAATTCCTTTACCTCACAAGAGCAACAGGAAAAAAAAAAAAAAAAAAGATACCCCCACTACCCCACCTTCCTTAATCTTATTAAAGAAGCAATCATACATGGACACATGTTATGAAGCCCATTTTACAATGGGCTTCTTGAAGGTATCTGTCTCCTGTACCTGCTAGATGAAAACAACTCTGTATCTTAATTTGCTGGGGAAGGAAAAAGCTGACAGATGTTCAACAAGTTTGGCTGCTTTTCTCCACCTCTCTCCATTCGCTTTGCTTCCTTACGGACTTACTTGAATACATCATAGCACTGGAGAGTCAAATTTGTACTTGCAACTGCACATCTCCAGGTTTCTTATGGCTCAATCTGTGAAGTCAAAGAAGCCATTTTTGTTCGGGTGGATTTATCTCCTCTGTGATCCATGCAGTGACAGCCAGTCTAATTCACTAAAGAAGCAAACTGCTATGACTGAATGCATCCAGCCCTGCATGAATACGACGCTCAACATTAAGAAAGGCTTGGGAAGAAATAAGCCAAGGAAATGAGGAAACATTTTAGACACAGGAAATATAACAAATAGTTATGGCAGCAATCTGATGAGAGCAGCAGATTGCCTGTTTTGCTTCTGCCAGAGAAGGCAGGATAAGGTGTACCAGCAGCCAGCAGCAGAGACAACCAATACCCACTTCCTCTGGTTGTTCTTGCAGCTACTGGAGGAAGGGAAGGGGAATGCAAAGCACCTACTGATAGGCAGAAGCAGCTGGGATCCTCTCTTTTTCACTTTCCCAGCACCTCAGCAAGTGTAGGATGGGCCACAACACATACACACACACATTACTGAAAGTAATAAGTTGAAGTACACAATATTAAAATATTAACATTTTAAGGCTTAGTAACAGAGAAATAACAGTTATTAGTTAACTGGTTTTCATAAACTGTTCATAGCGTCTAAAATTTTTTATAACAGATCAACAGCACAGAAGAGTTATACACCAGACAAGGCTTTTCATACAGTTTCACCAACACAAGCCTGAAGAGAGCTGTGGTGTTGATTTTTCTATTTTGCATACAGAAAATGGTACATGAGAAACACCGTACCATATGAAGCATGTGAGAGTCAGATTCCATCTATTGGAATTTTTCCAGAAACCCATTATATTATGCAGACCAAGGGAAACTGATATTTTGCACTGCAAGTTAGACTTGCCTATAAACATTGGGTGTGGAGACATTGATGATGTTGACAGAAACCCAAACTTCTCTTCATAGTTTTTCATAGGCAGATCTCAGAGAATAATTTTTAAGTCAAGCATCAAGCCTCTATTGTGGCCTTTAATACAAATTCCCGAATATGTAATGTATCATTTAACCAGATCAGCTAATCATCTTTCAGATCTCAATGCCTGAACTCAGAATCCTACAAACTGTAGAAATTCTCCTAGAATAAGATTCAAAATCTACCTTAAATAAAGGAGAGATACAGAAGAACTGCTTCTTTCCAACTGTAAGAAAAAGGTTGCTGACATAGGAATCAGACAGTAACGATTATCAGATCTGTCAAATGAGATGGCTACTGCTGTCTCGGGTGCTCTCTTATGCTACATCTAAGTACGTAAGATAAAAACGATCTTTGCTAAGGATTGTAGATTCACCATTACCCTGTTAGACAATCTATCCTCATGCTTTTAACCCACAACATATGCATGTACAGAGAGTTAATAACGATCAAATCACCCTCAAAAAATTATCTGAGTATGCAACCAGATGATGATATCCCTGCTAATACAGAATTTCACTCCCAGACAGTGGAATTTAATGTGAAGAGCTACATCTAGAAACATATAACAGGAAGGGGCTCATGGGTTTCAAATGTTGCTGCATTCAATCTCCACGCTGGAAAACATGGCAGAACGTCTATTATGCAATTGAATACTTTTGGAAAACTGCATTGTATTTTAGAGAGCCAATCACGCAGATATAGATATGTTCAGTTTAAAAAAAAATAAAAAATAAAAATCACAACATGCTGCCATTTGATAGTCACACATGCTGAACATTCATAACCACACTAGATAGCCTCACTGGGGCTTGTGGATACAATGCTGTGAATAGCACAGCAATAGAATTCAGAAAGGAAAAGTATCCTCCTATTTTCTGACTCTCTTCAAAACAAGCTATAAAGACCTATTTGCTTTTAAATAAAATACAGTCCTTGTGAGGAGAGGGCTTCAAATTCTATTGTTTTTTCCTCACCGTAAATAGTAAATATTTCACGGATACAACTAAAGTCAGTAGTGCATTCTCTGGTAGGAAAGGAAAGAGCCATCAGCTCTTTGTAGGAAGAGATTCATTAAACACCCTGGAAGACATACAGTGCAACAGAAGTGTAATTTCTTTGATGGTTTTAAAACAAAATTGAAAAATAAACTCACTTGTAAATGTTGAGAGTTGTCAGTCATATTGTCCTCCCGCCTACGAACTTCTTCCAACAACTGTGCATTCTTCTTTTTCTCCAGTTGCTGATTGTGCTTCAGATTGGCAACCTTCTTGTTTTGGTCCTTCATATGTCTAAGAATTGTATACACATATGCACCAGTGTTAATGACTGCAATCACTTTTTTTTCCTCTATAAATTGACTTGTGACTATGACACAGGACATCAATTCTCCAACAGATACAAGTATTACAAGTATCAGACGTAAACAATAAAACTTCATCTTGTTTTCAAAACAGTTTAATACCATCAGATTATACAATGGTTAAGCAACTATTCAGGCCTAAAAGATTTTTTTCTTTTTTTATTTGCTCACAAATATAGATGTTCTAAGCACTACACAGAAAAATTGTTGTTGTAACAGGGGGAGATTCTCCAACAGTCCTTACACACTGAGTTTGAGAATAATTTTAATGGGTCCTTTAAGTAGCATTAATTTCAAAGGAAGCAGAAGGTGAAGGTGATGACTAATGTATGTTGTGAAATTCTATTTCTGAAAACCTGGACTATAAATACAAGATTTCTGAGGATTAAAGTGTGATGGGGTAGAAGGTCAGGTCATAAATATGCCATGAAGAATAAAAGATACCTTTACAAATAGCTTTGCACAGAAGAAAAACATTACATTTCTATATTTGTTAATAATAAGACTTCTTTCTACAAAAGACTATCAACAAATAGATTAATGAGTAACTTCTAATGAAAATGAAGCAATCTTTAACAACCTTACATATTTTCTTTTGTTAAGACTGCACTCAAGTAAAAAGAAAAAATTAAATTGTTTCAATGTTTAATTATCTTTTGCTGTAGCTCTTAATCATTAAGTTACCAGAAGCTATTCTGATACTTCGCACACATCCTTTTAAGAAAGAAGGCGAGCTGAATTTTGTTTGGCAGACGCTGAAAAAATATCCTTCCAGTAATGCTTTCTACCTGCTTGGATTCTTAGATATTATTTTCCCGACTTCGTTTGACTTTGAGGAATTTTCTCCCTTTTATCTATATAAAAATAAAGTCATGTGCAAATTCCTAATGAGATCTACGCACTAATCCTATTTTGGCAAATGAAGAGAATATTATTCAATGCCCAAAAGGATCACTGAAAATGTCTCTGTTGCTCCCACATTAGAACTTTCAGTTTAAAAAAAAAAAAAAAAAAAAAGACAAGGAATACATTCCTTACTCTGATTTTATTATGGTAAAGAAATCAGATGAATTTATATTTACTTCTGTCACTGGTTTGTTTGTCCTACCACTGTTTTTTTCACTACTTATTTATACTTGAAAAATTAACAATGAATTTCTAATCAATAAATGTTTCCATGGTATTAAAGTCTTAGAATATATGCCACATAGAAGTTTGTAGGTACAGCACATAACAGAAAAGCTAATCTATTATTACTAAAAAAAGTAACTTCAGCTTGGCTAGAAAAAGTAGGTACAGATAATTCAAATAAAAATCTTTGCTTTTTAAAAGGATCTACATCAAGCTCACAGATAATTTTTTTAAAAGACAAGTACAAAGTTGTCTATTTGAAAAACAGATTTTTTCCTATAGTTGTGTTCAAGACTTTGCATCAGCCTGTTAAGGCACAAAAAGACAGATTAGCCTCACTGATCACCTTTTTCCAGCATTTATCTTTTGTACTCATTTTGTAATGCGAGAAATAAAATTTGTGAAGACTGCATATACTGTAAAAGCTAAAAGAATCCCCAACAAGACATTGCTACCAGAAAATAGAACAGTTACAGAGAAAAAAAAACCATAGCCATCCTTTTTAACTTTATTTTTTTAGTATAATTGTTTCTATATTACACAAAGCAATGACTGGAAGATGAACAGCTGAGCTTCTCCAGACTGAACGAACTCTGGTCAGACCTTAGCCTGTATCTTCCTTAAATATTCTCAAACATTTTTTATAGTACCCAGATATAGTACTAATAAATGATTCAACTAAAGCTCTCTCTCTTCTAGACATACCTTTAACTAAATGACAAGAATCCTAAGAAACACCACCTTTTATCCAGCTCAAAGAGACCATCAGTACAGCACTACAGCTGTCTTTAGTAGATTTCTGGCATCATCTTGAAATACCCAAATTAAGTTCACTTGAGAAAAAAAGAAAAGACTACACAATAGTCAGAAGAAACCCACCTACATGAGACCTATCTCAATAGGCTTGGGAGTATAGCATAAATCACCAGTATTTTATCATAGTGTTGTAATAAAGGTTTATTTTCTGAAAAACACAACAGTCTGCCACAGCTATCCAATAATAAGGCAAGGAACATGACAGTGCTAAAAATAGCAGGGATGATTCTGAAATTTGTTTCTAGGTCTTAAAAAATATAATGGATTTAGCTATTGAGTTGTCAAATTTTTACTAAATTTCCTCAAGAATTTTAGAGTGATGCCCTTTTTCTTATTAAATCAAGTATTTAAATACATTAGACACTCAGTGCAGCTCCAAGTGAAAATCCATTCTCTTCCATGGCATAATTGTAAGCATAGACCTAATCAGCATAAAACAAAAAAATCAGTATTAAAAAAAATTACTTTCACAGCTTCACATATAAATGTGGTATTTGGTACAACTGTTGGTGGTGTAATATGACTTTGTGCTGTTAAAAATATAAAATGGTTTTTAATCTAATGCTGAGTAAATGATAAATTAATTTATATTTAATCTCTGTAAGAACTTCAATTTTATGCCAATGCAAACTGCTTCTTTCATCACCCTTCCCTCTCACAACTTCCCATTTGAGTTTCTCTCTAATGCCACACTGAAAAGTAGAACATGGTAAAGCTGCAAAGGAAAACATCTGGTGCCTGTGATATGCAAAATCTTGAAGGAAATAAAAGAAAGCTGTGTCATAGCCTCTCTTTTTTCCACAACTGACTACATGCTTATGGAAATGAAAAGAAAATGCTACAGTTAAAAAGCCTAACTGAGTAGTTTTCTTTTAGGCCTGCATTAAAGGTACAAGAGGAGGTCAACAGAGAAAATAAATACAAGAACACATTCCCCCCCATTTTTTTTTTTATTTTTTTTAACAGCAAATATTTCAAATACAATCCTCAATTCCATATATTTTTTGAGTATGCTTGCTCTGGTATTTTTTCACGTCTTTGTTTCTAAAACACTTTGGAATAAAATAGGAGATTAGGATAAGTAAAGATTACGCATGAGAAACTGCAAACTATTTGGAAACACCACACAATCAGCACAAAATATCAGATGCCATTACCATATAGGATATAAAATACCCATACAGTTTACTAGTAGCTATGCTAATATGCACAGTTGAGTCTACGTTATTCTTTATCATGAGGAATCAGTTTCATGTGTTCTGTTACACTGTTTCAATTTAAAGCTATAAGACCACAAAATTAATTAGACAGAATAAAATAAATAAAACATTACTGTTTAAGGTATATGTCTTCAGAATTGGAAATGTATGCTGCAGGGGTCTGGGCAGTAGAATTGATCTTACCATCACATGTTAATCATATTCTGGTACTAAAATATGTGCGAAAGTATTAATGTTTGATAGTCTAACTGCCCCAAAGCAGTAAGATGAAATCCACAGATTTCCGATTTTCCACATGGTTAGAGTTCATTTTGAAGTTGGGTATCTATTATCTTATAGTCAGCTGAATTCTTTACCCGCTGAGCTGGGTGTTACAGTCATCTCAAACTAGTTATTATAGAATACTATGCTGTGTTTGTAATTTTACAAACTTCACAATAACTGGCAAGACTGTCTTCAAACTAGTTCTAAAGCACTCAAGCCCAGAGCACACTGAAGTGGTCCCAACACCACGTTTGGCTTAAAGAAATTATGTCTGAGCTTATCACATTTAAGAAGGAAAAAAGTAGTCTAAAAAGCAGCGTAGATGACTAACACCTTACACAGATGCTTAATCTTGGCCAAACATTAAAATGGCTGCTAATGACACTTTTTCAGATAACAAATTTAAATTTCTGTTTGTGTTCCTATGGCTATAGCCAGTCAGAAAGTGTCATAAAACATCTAGCAGCTTCATCTATGGACAAAAAAAGAATTCAGAGTGGATCTAAGCTGTCTTCAAAATGGAGCTAGAATGCAAGCGTATCTTGAATAGTTTAAAAAAAATAGTTACAGACTGAAGGAGTCAATGGGCATCTTCCAACTCATTTGAGCATTCAACAGAGAAGCAGTACCCAGCAAAAACCCATGCCACCTAAATACTAGATGGCAGTGACACTGGAATTTAATAAAGAGATGAAGAACACCAGATATAAGAAAAAATTCTAAATAAAATTTGATTATTCTAGTACATTAGATATTGTTTCATTCCTAGTGAAGAGGAAAAGATTATATAAAATAACATAGTTGTCTAGAAACTACCTTATTGAACGTTAAACTGAGTTTATGAATTTTTTAAACCTAGATCAAGCCATTGCTCTGAACTCTAAATACACAGTAGACCGCAGCCAGGCTACTCCATTAAAAATCAGCCAGTCATAATTCCCTATTCCTCTTCATGAGTTTTCCTGATCTGGGATAATTTTCTATAATCTTTCTCAATGCACAGAATGATCCACGGCCATTAATTTACAACTCAGCTGGGTGCAAAAAATCAGGTATCTAAACCATAGCAATGTCTTCATCTGTTTTCCTCGGTATCCAACAACTTTTTCAGAAAAAACAGTCTTAGACTGCCAAGACAGGAATCAATAGACTGTAAAAGATCTGATTTCTGATACTGCTGAAGAGCCATCAAACTATGACTAGAGTCCCTTAATCTTGCTGTGCAAACAGCAAGATGCCCTTACATCAATAACACTAGTTGTTCATTCTATTTAATTTTTTAAATTGAAATGTCTTTTTAAGAAATAAACATCAGTACCATGGAGAACCAGACCCTTGATCAGCAGAAAGACAAATATCAAAACAGTAGTAGCACCTAGTTCTTGCTAGCTTGAATATCACTAATTGTAGCGACTATGAGTAACCATGTTCCTTTGTGGTTTTTTCTTGTTTTTCTGGAATAGCATACAAATTGATCTCGTAGTCTAACTACAGGAGA